TCTATCAAAAGAATTCCTTCACAATCCCAAAACATCGTGGCCATCACCTTTTTTGTTGACTGGCAGACTCTGAATTTTCTTGAAGGTGCTTCACCCTTACGACGCCACTCCATTAATTCTTTTTTCGATAAAGGGTCATAATACAGAACCATGGTTTCATCTCCCGTCACAATAGTTTCTATCACAGGCTTCGGTTCCGACCCACAGAGTTCCAAAAAAGACCGCGCACACTCGACACGGCGTTGTTTTTGAATAGCCGAAAGGTTTTTAGGAACCCATCTTGCACTAACTTTATGCATACCTAAATGATCATGCAGGATTCGACGAACACTTGAATCAGAAAGCTTAGTAGTTTCTGAGATTTCCTTGACCTTTAAACGTCGATCACTCAATACCACCTCTTCCACAATCACAATAATATCTTCCGTTATGACCTCCACTGGTCGACCAGTTCTTGAATCATCTTCAAGGGACCCCTGCCCCATTCGAAAACGTTTTGCCCATTCTTTCAGTACAGAATACGAAGGAGAACTTTGGCCGTACACACCATCCAGCCTTTCTTTAATAATTTTAGGTGCTAACCCTTCTTTTGTCAAAAACTTTATGACTGCTCTATACTCAATTTGGGTTATGTGCGACATTTTTTCGGACACGTCTTGTTTAAAATGCTGTCAATAAAAAACTATTTGACGCAATACTTCAATTTTTTTCGCAGCCTACTAAGATATATATTTAAAAGAAGACAAAGTTTTATCGTGAGACTGGAGCTGCATCTATGTCAGGCTAGGAAATTTTGGCACTCACCTTGTATATACGATTGAAAAAATAGGAACAGTCGCCAAATAAATGCTTTCCCATCGATACGTACATGTTTCGGCATTTAGCACTGCGGCATCTTTTCGTTGAAAGAGACCAATCAAATTATAACTTTTATTTCGTTCGGGGCAAAATTATTTAGTACCTCAATCACGTTTTATTAGCTTTCTCGTAATAATTATTGATAACTCGAGCCCTAATTACACGAACCGAATGTGACGGGCTTCCAAAATTTATTTACTACCCTGCAGAATAATACATAGATCGTTGGAAAACAATTAAAAAGACATTTTCGGTCAACTCAAATTTACGTGCTGTTTAAAATATTGTCATGTTCAGAATAATGCATATTAGAGCTTAAAAAAAAATTGGCACTCTATGGCTATTGTAAATATTTAGATTTTACATTTTAAAACGCTTCTTGTTACTTTCGAAAAATCGATAAAATCGAATTTTTCGAAAGTATACGCGGTTGGCAACGAAACTTATATCTCGGCAACGGTAGGTCCTAGGGGACCGCCATTGGTACAGAAATGATCAGCGTCGAAAAAAAAAACTTTTTTTTTCTATTCTCCGTTCTCTGTTATCCGTTATCCGTTCTCCGTTTCTCTGTAGACCTGGCATTAATTGGCTATATCCTTTGAACGGTTTGCAACACGGCCTTGAAATTTGGCTCCTTTTAAACCGTGCGCGAGGGACATAAATCACTAAAAAATGAGTCTGATCAAACTAAAGAGTCCATCTTTTTTTTTAGATTTTCGACAGTTTTTTGGACATTGGTATGAAACACTATAAGAGCCCGAAATTTGAAGCCATCCACTTAAAATTTAACAGATGTATAGAGCTTAGCTCCGTAACAAAGCCTATTGGAACTGGGGAGCCTGGGGTCGGGAAGTATTTTTAAAAATTTAAAAACTGCACTTGCAGGATATCGAGAAAAAAATCATTTCTCCAAGACGCTATATGTGATCGAAAAAATTCTTAAACCAAACGACGCGCAAGATCCGGACTAAGAACCTTTATTCTTAATGATTTTTTAGAAATACAAGGTACGTCGGTAATTTACAAAAAAGTGAACATTGAGCCCCTTTTATATTGATAATTGACCATAAATAGAAGGCTGTGATTCTGTTGTCAATTTCTTTCACATTTTTATATAGCCCGTATGAACAGCTAAAACTTGTGTATTTAAAGTTTTCACATATTGTACAGGGTGTTCGGAATAGTACGTGCTATGTTCTAAAACGTCATAGGTGTCTCAAATAGTAAAAGTCCGTAAGCATATCTAAACAGTAGAAATTGAGCATTATGAAATGTCCCGAAATATTTTTTAAAAATTTTTGAAAAATTTTCTTTGGTTATTTTGTCTCCCAGAAAAACATGATTTTCTCAAAAACCATTCAACCGATCGTCAAAATTTTAAAGTCCGAAAATACGAGAGATGCGGCGCTATGACTCTAGTTTAAAGCATTTTTTCGATTATATACAGGGTTTTTTGAATTGTGGACAAAAATGTAAAAGACCGTGAAAATCATACTTTTTGGGAATAAATAATTAACCGCAAATCAAAATTCGTAAAAAATATGGTCAATCGGTTCAAACAGTGTTATATGCCGCATCAAGAGTAGCAATTTTCGTCTATCACACACGCTGCTCGAGATATTTTAAAAAATCCATATGAAAATCGCTGATTCTCGCGCCCAATTTAGACGCGATAACGTCATTGAATATTACGGCGGACTTCATAGTTTCAGAAGGAAACTATTTTCTTGAAAACCATTTACTCCATTGAAAAAATTCTTGGACCAGGAAACGTTTGAGTTCCAGTACTAAAACCTTTATTTTCGGTATTTTTTCCACTATGTGTGTGGATTATGGACAAAAAATCAAAAACACCATGAAAATTGCCATTTTCATATGTAAATTATTTAGCTGTTAATGAAAAACTATAAAAAAGGAATAATTTGGTTTAAACAGCATTGTAAACTATAACGAAAGAGTTCCAGGCTTCGTCTATTATACAGGGTGCGCCAGATATTTGAAAAAATATCATTCCAAATATGTTATTTGTACAAATTACAATATTTATCAAAGTTTGCCGTGACTTTGAAATTCGACGAGATGGAAAAGATGCTTTATACAGGGTGTATGCATAAAATTACATCGATTTTGCAAAAGTTCCATAGTGGTTCGCAGGAGCACGATAGAAAAACAATGCTTCCCCCACGAAACGCCTTCTTTTTAAAATAAAAAGCTACTTCGCACTCCGCCCTACGAACTTGGCCAGACCAGCGACGATTTTTCGAAAGCAATCTTGTCACTTTCGAAAAATCGATTCTTTTCGAGCGCTCCTCACTAAACTCAAGATCTCAGTAATTGTAGGTCATAAAGACCGCCCGTTTGAGCTCCTTTTTAAACGTCCACGGGGTGTATAAGACTTGTAAAAATGGCTGCGTATTCGCGATAACTAAAAGATATTACTTTCTTTTACATGACGATATAGCCCGTAGCTAAAACTTTTGTATTTAAGGTTTTCACACAGGGTGTTCAAGATATTCCGTGCTATATTAAGAAATGCGTTAAGTGTCCTAAATTTGCAGATATCGACTTCAAATTTAGCAGAAAAGTAAAAGTCCTTGCCCACATTTAAACAGTAGAAACTGGGGGCAATCAAATTTCACCAAGTATTTAAAAAATATTTTTTTTTTATTATTTTGGCTTCCAGAGAAACATGTTTTTTTCCATAACCATTCACCCGATTGGCAAAATTATTTAACCAGCAAACGTGGAAGATATAGTGCCATAACATTTATTTCAGGCATTTTTACGATTATATACAGGGTTTTCCAATTATAGACAAAAATCTAGAAACCCATGAAATTGTTCTTTTCCAGAGTAAATTAAAAATCGTAAAAAATATGGCTAATCGGTTCCATAGGCCGCATCAAGAGCTACAATTTTTGTATTTACGGTTTTCGTCTATTCCGGGGGCTCAATCAAGACGCGACGTCTTCATTGATTATTACGATGCACTGCATGGTTTCAGAAACAACTTAGTTTCTCGAAAACCATTTACTATTTTGGAAAAATTCTTGGACCATGAAACGTGGAAGATTCAGGGTTATAACCTCTATTTCCGGATTTTTCCAAATATGTACAGGGTGTGTCGATTATGGGTAAAAAAAATCTAAAAGACCCTGAAAATTGCAGTTTTCGTGGATAAATTATTATTAACTATAAAACATGGGATAATTTGCTTTAAACAGTGTCGTAAACTGTATCGAGAGAGTCTCAGGTTTCGTACAGGGCGGGCGAGATACTTGGAATAATATAATTGGAAATCATTATTTCTTAAACAATTTTTTGTATTTATCAAGGTTTGTCGTGACTTTGAAATTCTACCGACGATTTTTCGAAAGCAATCTTGTTTTACTTATTTACTTGGATGCAGAGTGTAGTTGGAATGTGTTTTCCCACTGCATATATTTTTTTGTCAACAAAAACTACCTTATGTTTTTCTGAATTTTTCTAATCAGTACTTAAATTTCTGAAAGTGTTAATTTTTGGATAATGCTATGGATTTAGCCTGACACCTTATAAACACCAATAAAAAATCTTTTAATCTATAGAAAAATAGTTACTGATCAGTAACATTTTTGTTATTAAATAATTTTTAATAAATAATTATAATTCCTATATATAAATGTTTGTAAATTTAGTTAATAATAAAATATAAAATGCCTAAGCAAACCGTCTTGTCCCACCCTCACCAATTGTTTCAATTTTTTAGCAAGAAAGATGATTTTTTATTTTGTTGTTTAATAACCATGCATTTTGTCTTTTGATGTTTATTTTTAAGTAGTTTTTAATACAACTTCGAATACAATTTTCATTCGTACTTAAAGCGTATTGCATCGTCTAATGCTTTAAAAACAAGATGAACCAAATCTACTTTTGCACATATTCATATTTAACATTAAACATGGAGCTAACAAATGCAAATGAACTCCTTTCTAAAAATTCTGTAATTATGTTTTTAAGTGCTCAAAACCAATATTATTTTAAAAATTGTATTTATTTTACGTATCTTTACCTCAGTCATAAATGCAAAAAGCGCTTTACTTTTGAGGATAGTTTTGGTTAGTTAGGGTGTATAATTTAAATAATTAGAACCATATTTCCAGGAGAACATCCTGCTGCGATGCAGAGAGGGAAGAATTCAGCATCGCCTATCCCAGCTTGGTCCCATTTGTCAATGGGGCTGGGCTTAGCAGCCTGCACCCCACCTAGGTTTGCCATTGCGGTTGCTCTAAGCCTAGCAGCTTTAAGCGAACTGCTGGCTTGCTAAGAACGTCGTAAAAGAAACGAATGTTTTTATAAAAATTGTAATTCGTTTTGTTTCCAGAGTGGTCAAAAAGGAATTGTACGTTTTATACGATAAGGTTAGTGGTTTTCTTTGAGTCGCCAAATGAGTTGAAACGTTTGTTTTTACGTGTAAATTGTATATTTTCCAATTGAACTAAATGCCAATCGAAATCAACATTAGATTCTTGTTAGGAGATTTGTAAGCGTGCTATAAATTGGTCGACGCCATCTTGAACATGGTTACGCGTTATAGTAAGGTTTTAATTACGTGTATTTATTTATGTATTTACTAACAGGGTAGTTTTATAGAATTGTTTTTATTAACGAAAAGGCAATTTAAGATATTTGCTGGTACCACACTTTCTTAGCTGGGCTCAAGTAATTTGTGATAAATACGTCATTTTGAAGATGACTCGTAATTAAATAACGTCACGTGCTACATTTGGTAGTTCGATTGTTTTGCATTATTTTCCCTAATATACGATTTTGAACAAATCGAGATTTTCGCAGGAAGCACGTCCCAAAAACTTTTCTACATATCATTTCAATAGCCCCTATCAAGTCCATAGCCGGATTTAACGGTAATTAATAAGAAACTTATTGCTCCAAACTAATAAGTGACAATAATCAATCTCAAACACGACATACAAGCAAACGTTCAATAGAAATAAATCAAAATTATATATTTCGGTAAATATGCGTTTATAAACTTAAAGTTTTTAATCGTAAGACCTATAGTGCTAGCAATAGTAGCAATTTTTTTTGAACACTCTGCAGCATTATCAATTTGTTGACGTTTTTAAACTAGATTTTATATTATGAAACGTAACTCACACTTAAACGATGTCGAGTAGTGATACTTACGATTTTCGACACCAACAGTGTCAGCTTTCATAGACTACTTCCATTGTCAGCAAAATATAATAACTTGATGTGGTTTATTTTATTTCATATCGATATATTTTTTTTTGTTTTAAAGTTGCAAAAAAGTGATTTGCACATTTTTCAGGCACCTTTTAGGGCAGAATAGAAGGGCCTTCAATATTTTTGTTCGTTTTGTGATTATAAAATAATATTAAGGACTAATTAAAATAAGAATTATTTTTCAGGGCAAGTTTACATCGTTTCAAATAGATTGGAGGAGTTGCATATTAAAAAAAATCACCCTTATTCACATCCCAACAAAAAGTACCTGAAAAGTGTGCATATGTCTTTAATGGAACTTGTAAAACTGAAATCTGGTATGGAAACATGCATATATTGATCAATGTTTCCTCCATTGCAGTCAACCGTCACAAAAACTCCACAGAATCCACAAATACCTAATCGTTCCCTTGAGATATAATATTGTTCAACACACCATTATGACATTTTTCAACAGGTTCTGCCGTGACTATTTTGATCTTCTAGCTGTTGCGCCCATGTTTAAAGTCGCATTGTCCAGTAGAGCTCAGTTTTTATTTTTTTACGGGACAAACTTTTGATAATAACTTTTAGCTGATTACTATCAGTAAAATTTTATTTCCAAGTCTGGTTACGTACGAGGATAAATTGAAAATTTTAGGAAAAAAAACAGAATGTAAGCCCTTGGCTCAACGATACTATTCTAACTATTCAAAATATTCTTTGGTGGCAACAACCAAATCTTTATTTGATTCGTACTTCTTTCAAGCATGACGTTTTTCCAAGGTTGGAAATAAAGCATGGCGTTCCAACTGAAACGGCAATTTTATTTTTCATTGTTTATCCGCGTCGGTTTTCTTGAATTTTGTTTGAAACCTAAATTCTTACGGGCTTTTTCCTAACAAGTTCTCAGTGTTTCGACTGCTGCTTCAATTTTGGTGCACAGGGTGAACAAATTTAGCTAATAAAAGCTATGGAATAATTGGTTTCGCTTAATGTCGATACCTTTTTTTTGTTTGCAAAAAGGTTTTTGCACATTTTTCAGGTACATTTTCAAGTGGAATGGAATTGCCTTCAAGGATATTGGATATCCTTGTTCATTTTTTGATTATAAAATAATTTTGAGCACTACTTAAAATGGATTATTTTTCAGTACATATTTATGTTGTTGAAAACAGCATGGAGAAGATGCAAATTAACATAGCAACAAAAATATAAGTTTGTTAAGGCCGTTGAATTCTAAAAAAAAGTACTTGGAAAGTGTGTAAATATCAACACACTTATCTATGGATTCGATCTAGAACCAATATCGTTTAATTTCCTTATAACATTAGTACCTGATAAGTCATCTTTGGAGGTAAATTTAAATTAATGATCGATGCCGGCAGATATTAAATTATTTACGCGCTATAAAGGCATCCTCAAACTTCGTTCACCTCAACAGCCTTCGGTTTACAAGGCAAAGGTGTGTTCTTTAATAGCCTAAAACCGGCACTTAATGTTCGACCGCTTTATAATTTGTTTCAAAATACAGGTAGTAGAGGTATATTGAAGCAGGACTTCAAGATTCGATAGTACTTTAAAAAAAATATGTTTGTTCATATTAACAATACAATCGACTATGAAGTTTCTGTGTATAAATGTGCTATATGTGTGAGTTACGATCAAAATCAAAATGTTACTTATATACCGTCGATCACAATTAAATGTTAAAAACAATTAAACGAAAAATATCAACGTACTTGTTTTAAAATTGTCACACCTGGGGTGCTAACAACTTTGCTAATATGTATGTATAAAATATTAGTGTTATGTTTGTACATAATTTGTGATTAACATATTTTTTAAAATGAGGACGCTTATATCGTGAGCACACAGAAAACTTTTAAGGTGTGATTATACTAGATACATATAGTAATCAATGTAAAAGGATTTGTCATTGAATAAAATCTTTCCGAGCTGTATAAAGTATTTTGCCGTAAACTGATTTAAAAAGGAATTTTGTTTTACGAATTCCAGGCGATTGTTACGTTTTTATTGCTGTTTATTTAACGAATAAAAAACGACATAATATTAATGTATAAATCTAGCATTCATATTTCAAGACAAAAAAAATGTTCTGCGGTTACTGAAATCTGAATTAGCCATAGTATTTTATCCTTTCGTGTCCATTTCATTGGTGTATATTAGATAGGAGCAGAATGTAATCCATCTTTATGTTTAAATATATCGTTAAAATAACACATCGTTTGTATTTCAGCCCCAAATGCAACCGAAATGTTAGCAAAATACCTTCGCCGCCTTCTTTCTAATTCCAATTCCAATTTGCAATTCATTCCGATCCTATCCTCAATTGCCTGTCGCTTAACGAAACTTGTGCCCTATTCTACTAATGCAGCGATATTTTTTCAGTATTGGCAATTGGCAATCCCATGCAAGCGTCTATCGGAAGAACCACCACGACATGCTTTAGATTGGATACAGTTTTGATAATTGCAGTTGGAGATTTATGTTTCTTTCACTTTTCTAATGTGGACATCGGATGTTGTTTCAGAATGAGGAGTTTCAGACGAGGAGTTGGATGGAAACGCAATCATTTGCTGCCGTTTCTAATTCCATCATTGTTGTTTCAAAACCAGAAGTCTTCTAGGGGCTGTTTCAGGGGCACGCCTCCTTCGAAGTTGGAACTACGACTGGCGTACACGTATAGCACATTTCCAGGAGAAGATTGCAGACGCAGGTGTTCTTCGAACATGAAACTGTGATCAACGCAGCGAGTTGATGCAGTGCAACAGCCTGGAAGACGCAGGTACATTTCACCATAAAATTGGTGCTATTTTCGGTGTTTGATATGTATCTTTTTTTTCAGATTTCCTGCAGTTTCGAGGTGAATAATGGAGGCACAGCAGTCTGGACAATGCGTCGAAAATTTAAATCAGGTACGCTCAATTATCAAACTCATTTCCAAAATTTGAATTAATACGTTGTTTGTTTCAGAACTTTAAATAGAAACGACAATTTGATGTTTGATAGAAAGTGCGCAGTTTTCCCGATCACCACACCAAGATGCAGGCGATGTTCAGCTATCTTATGAAAAACATTTCTATGTAATATATATAATCTATTCAATATAATTACTTAATTTAATTAGCGTTGTTTCAAAAAGCCTTGCCTTCACTTTAACGATGAGCTGTCAGGAGTAAAATTTCAAATTTTGAGTCGAAAAGAGCAAGCTTTCTTTACTCGCTATGACTTAAAACAAACTTACTCCTGATATTTTCATACATCCTTGCTATTTCTGCTCCCCGCGTAGAACTTGGCAATTTTAAAGAAAATTCGCTGCTACACGCGACACCCAAAATCTGTTTTCTTGACATGCTGGTGGAGGCGCAATAATTTTAAAAATGTTACTCCTCATACTTATTATACCTCTTCGCCATTTCTGCTCTCCTGATAGAAATCGACAAACTTCGAATAATATCTATCGAAATTGTGCACAGAATCCGCAAACCGCTAGATGGGCGCATCCACCGCACATTTAAAAATGTTCTAGAACAAAATAGAAATTTGACGATTTTTTGCAGTATTGTCAGATTGAGCAAAATTTCCTGGAATGCAAGGAGAACTTATAATTTTTTTTCCTTAAATTGATGATATTTTGCACAATCTGGCAACGTCGCAAAATTGCCACAATTCTATGATGTTCTAGAACATTTTTAATTTTTTGGCGGATGCGCCCGTTTAAAGGTTTGCGATTTTGTGCACAATTTCTACCGATTTGTCCTAAAATTGACGTTTTTTATCAGGAGAGCAGAAGTGGCGAGGAGGTATGAAAAGTATCAGGAGTAAAAATTTTTTAAACGATTGCGCCTCCACCAATTTGTCAAGAAGTATTTCAGTTTTATATTGTGCTCTAGAACATTTCTAAATTTTTGGCGGATGCTCTCCTTTAACGGTGTACTTGGTGCACAATTTCTACCGATTTTTCCTAAAATTTATGTTTTTTATCAGGAGAGCAGAAGTGGCGAGGAGGTATGAAAAGTATCAGGAGCAACATTTTTAAAAACGATTGCGCCTCCACCAATTTGTCGGGAAAACTTACATTAATTTTAATTTAGTAAATAAAACACGTGAGTGAATTTTACAGATTTATTGAGAAAAGTAATTACAAAACAGTAACAAATTATACATTTCAATTAATAACTGGCGACTTCAGTGCGGACCCGCTTTCCTGCTGGCCTGAAAAGCGAAGCTGAACCGGACCGAAGAGGGTTGTTCAGACCAGCACAACTATAAACACAAATAGCAAACCTGTAAAAAATGTCTTCCACTGCAAACTTTGTGTGTAATGTGCGACTGCTAGTGCGCGTGCGTGTGTGTGTGTGTGTATGTATGTGTGTGTGTGTGTGTGTGTGTGTGTATGTGTGTGTGGCGCGTGTGTGCGTGTGTGTGTGTGTGTGTGTGTGTGTGTGTGTGTGTATGTGTGTGTGTGTGTGTGTGTGTGTGTGTGTGTGTGTGTGCGCGCGTGTGTGCGTGTGTGCGTGTGTGCTTGTATGTGTGTGTGTGTGTGTGTGTGTGTGTGTGTGTGTGTGCGTGTGTGTGTGTGTGTGTGGGCGTTTTCTTTCAAAATGACCAAATGTGAATTGAAGAACGTGAGTATATTGCAATGTTTCTATGCTGACGATTGGGCACTACCTTACCTGCTTGACAGAAGGCTGCTTCAAAAACATTGATGGCTCTCTGGGTGTTTCTTCCAACAAGAAATTTGTATCAGTCTTCAATTTTCCAAGCAATACCACGTCTGCTTGCTGTAATTATTATAACATTATATTAATGATTATGCTTCCAATATGAAATAAAGGATACTCTCACCGTGTCTCCTAATTCGCCATTCGACCAGCGGTTGGGCGTCATACGCAATCCGCCTGCAATTCGGTATTATGCGATTCCATGTTCTCCTGCAATTTTCCTGTCGGACATTGTCGAGTTGGCTTCAATTAACTTCTAGGACGACAGCATCGGCCCCGCGAAGGACCAAAATAAAAACATCTTAATTTTCTTCTTCGAGTTGCGTTCAAAAGGTAAGGTGACTTTTAAGTTTTATTAACAAGTATTTATTTACTATCTACAACACTTCTGTATTCCTAATGCGTCGGTTGTTGTTGAGTCCAACTTGCTGACGTTTCTTAAGAGCTTAACTGAGACTCAAGCAGTTTCACTTAAGCTCTGAAGAAGCCAACAGGGTGATTTGCGAAACGTTAGCTAGTTCGAGTGAACAAAAACCAAAAACCTACGCAGGAGGAATCCAGAAGTTTTATAAAAAGTATTACAGTAGGCTGTGGAAGTTTCTGCTACTGTATATAACTAAAAATGACAATAAAATCATAATTAACTGAGAATTTAAGTTTAATAATTTAGAGATATTTAAATCTAATTGATCGTTAAGCAATACATTTGAATGTCTCATTTTGTTAATCTCCATGGCTTCCAATAAATTTAATTTTCTACTTTTTCTACTTTTTTCATCAAAAATATGTATAACATAATAAACGCTCTTTTATGTTTGTTAATGCGTTTCTTGAAGGATCTACCCGTTTGTCCAATATAAATTTAAGGACGAGATCCGCATTTCAACCTGTAGACACCTAATTTTTGAGATTTTGATCATTTTGTTTTATTGTTTTTTAAAAATTTTCCTATGGTGTTGTTAATTCTGAAAACTATTTTTAAACCACATTTAGACAAATGTTTTGAAACTTTTTCACTGGGTTCTCCTATGTATGTAATTGTTTTAAATTGTTCGTGTTCTGTATTAGGTTTCCGATAAATAGAGTTTACTGTTGTCTGGATTTGTTTTTTATTTATAATTTTATCGATAATGGACGGATTGTAGCCGTTGTTCAGTGCAATTTGTTTAATGATATTAACTTCTTTGTTGTAATTTTCTGTTGAGAGTGGCTTATTAAGAAGTGTGTGAATAAAAGAGTGAAATGCAGCCATTTTGCGTGTATAAGGGTGATTTGAACTGTTATGTATGATTGTGTCCGTGTGTGAAGGTTTATGATAAATGGAAAAATCTAATTTGTTTTGCGTTTTCGTAATAGTTAAGTCTAAAAAATTAATAGAGTTATCCCGTTCAATCTCGATAGTGCATTTTATAAGATTATGTAATGACTTAATGTAATTTAAAAAAGAATTCAATTGTCTGTCCGTTCCAACAAAGCAAGCAAAGACATCATCCACGTATACCACCATAGAAAACTTTTACTAAAGGGATGTAATAGTATATTTTCCAAATTATCCATAAAAATCTCGGCTATTAAAGGACTAAGTGGGTTTCCGATAATCAAACCTTACATGGAGATGTAAATCTGTCCATTAAACTCAAAATAATTTTGGTCTAAAGATACTATTAAGCAATCTAATAAATCTTGTTTCACCAATGGGTTAACCTGTTTCCGAGTTATGGTGAAATCAATTAAATCTATCACATCCGTGGGTGTAATACTGGAAAATAAGTGTTACATCAAAAGACAATAGTGTTGCGTTAGAAGGGATTTTGGATTCTCACAACAACATTAATTAAGGTTTTATTGTCATTTTTCGGTATATATAATAGCAGGTAGTTTGTAAATATTACATTTGATAAAGACACGGTGTTGTCGAAGCAATTGTCAAGTGAAAATATATAATTTCGTGAAAATCTGAACTTTTAGTTCTTATTTAACATAATAAAAAATATATCGAAGATCAAATGTATGTAACCAGCTCAAATACAAGTCGCCCTACTTTTTGAACACACCTCGTATAAAAATTTACCCAAACCCTGCTTAAATATTGAGAAAAATCTATATCGCTTCCATGGTTCCAAGTGAAGAAAAAATTTTTTCAAAATAAAATCATCAACCATTTTAAACTGATTTTTTTTTTTTGAATTATCATAGGGTTACATGCACGTAGAAGACAAAATCGATCGCTAACTCTGTGCTAATAAACCAGCCCTTAAAGGGTGTGACTATAACGAGGCTATTAAGGAGAAAACAAACTAAATGTTCCCCGAAGAGATACGAGTGATATTTTGTTAATATAAACTACGGAAACTACAACGTATTCATATCTAAATTACTCGTACCTACACTAATAGGTGCATCAAAACTTTCAGAACCAAGTTAATTATTTCACTTTTGTCTTCAGCTGGATTATTTTACGGCACAGCCGAAAACAAAAGGCAACAAAATACACTTCCATTATCTTTTGTGTTTTTGTAAAACGAACCTACTGATGCTGCAGAATTAGCCCGTTTTAAAATTAATATTCTTGGGATGTACTTGTTTGCTTTATGCAACCTAATATTTTACGGAAGCAGGAAACAAGTTTTCTTTGTTTTAAGAGACTAGCGGCGAAAGAAGATTTAATATTCGAAACAAATATGGCCCGAACAGCTGGCCTAATTTCATTTGGCAATTCTAAACTGTTTGCTAATGCATGATGCAGTGACCATAGTAAATATTATGTGCACTAAGAACAACGCCCTGGAAATGCAAGGCATTTTGCATAACAATTAGGGCCGTGCTATATACTCCATTAGTTTAGATCCATTGTTAGATGAACATCCTCGACCTCAAACAGCCCAATAAATTGAATCGTTCAATTTGGAGATTATGCAAAATGACCAAGAGGCAATGCCGAATTTTAATTTTGCCTAATTAGCGGATAGTTAATAAACTAAGCCGATTTGTAAAGTTCGCCAGCTGAAGTTCCTAGATTAAAGTGGACTTAACACAAACGTTATTAGCATTTCTATTATTGTGGCGCTAAAAGCTAATATTTCGATGAACTGTAGTCAATTTCCGAACGAATGTAACTAAAACTGATGTATTGTAGATAATTAAGACTACTAAGACTAAAGCAGTAGGTTTCGGTGGAAATATTTGTACAATCAGATTTTGCATGTTACAAATAATTGCTTAAAATATTCCATTTTCCCGGATCAGCGGGAAAAGCCACTACCTTTGCCAAAAATTGTAAATTCAACAAAATATTCGCCCAATCAGTATTACACCCACTTTTTCAACAACGTTGGAAAAGGTTATATACGAGCAAATGCAGCTTCACATTGTTAATAACCAGATTATCCCCGTTACTCAATCAGGATATAAAGCGAGGCATAGCTGCACTGCAGCTCTACTAAATATAATCGATGATAATTTAGGGCTACAGATCACGGAAAGCTGACACTACTAACCGTTTTAGACTACTCGAGAACTTTTCACCAAATTTTTATTTCAATGTTAAGTTTTGTTGGTTTTTTAGAAAACGAAATTACCCTTCTAGCTTCGTACCTGCAGCATCAATCTCAAGCAGTAACTATAATAGTGTAACTTCTTCGTGCATAAAGGTATACCTCAGGGGTCTATTTTAGGACCCCCTTTCTTCATTGTATACAGTGCACGCGTAAATGATGGGACTCCCCTTTTATTTTTTGTACCATTGTAAAATTTGGTAAGCACGTGCCATGACAGCAGCAGCAGAATTTTTTTAAACGGTAAGAGAGGTCATGTGATACTTCTTTTTAAAGGTCTTTTCACGTTCTATTCGCGTACGGATTTTGAAAACATTTGAATGATCTTAGAAAACAAAAAATTAAATAAATAATTGTAAGGTTGCTTCACTTTCATTGGTTCACTTTTCAATGTCAAAATATTTAATCGTTTTGTCAGTGCGTCAGGTCCATTTATACTTTTTTTTTAAATATTTGTTCTAAAATAATTTGAGTTTCATTAGTTTTTCATATTCGTTTATATTCATTGTTTAATTATTTATTTTTTTAATTTTAATGTACTTTATTTTATTTAATTTATTCAACACCTGTTAGAGAATGGTTAAATGGTGGATTGGAAGATGAGACCCCATTGAATGGCCAGCTCGGTCGCCACAACTGGCACCTCAGGACATTTTTCTTCAAAATTTAAACCAAATTCATTTAAAGATAAGAATGACAGAGTTCGAAATATTTGCAGTGAAATTCCCAGAGAAACTTGGCTGTGTTAGGAATATTAGAATTACAAGTTACAGGTACATTTAGACTAAAACTTAAAGTCAAAGTTCAGCAGACGTATTATACCTTCATCGGGTTAATAAGAATTATTTTTATGCACTCTCCAAGAAATTCAAGAAAAATGAAGCTGAATTTCAAAAGAATATTCACCTGTTCAAAGAATTATAGATAGGAAATTTAAGGAGCGTATACCATCTAAGTACAAATATGATTAATGTGTGTTCCCTATTTGATTATGGAGCGTGTATCCTTTAAGGTGGAGGACAGTTTCGACAACCTTTCTAGTTTCTATGTTCCACCTTTTTTCAAAAATTTCGTTTCGAATCGTTTGTCATTTACCTTGTTGTTAGGATGTTGTTGGGAAAAGTAAAAGGAAAAGTCTCCTATTTTTTTTTCTAGGACACTAGTTGGTGACTAAAAACTAGGTATTTTGTTTTAGATCGATACTTCATTTTTACAAAAAAAAGTGCCCTATTTAACCAGTGCAGTGGCGACCTAATTAATCAAAATATTTTCTGTTTATAGACAGTTAGTGGCATTTCCTTAAATTCGCATTCATATATTAGTACATCAAAATAAAAACTAATTTCTCTGCATGTTGTCACATTAATGATATTGTTATGACCACGCAAAGAAAAGGTTTTTATTTTTTTCAGTGAAAACTTAAAATTTCAGTAAATTTCTTTAGAAATGTCTGGTGACTGTAAGAATAATTTTTATTTTAAGAGAAATCAGTGGCGTATCATCAAAGTCTGCCAAAATAGTGAAATGTGGTACACTAAATAATGCTCTAGTAATGTACCAATGTGACTCAATAAGGGTTTCCACATTAAAATCATAAAAAAACTCGCAAGAATATAAAAATATACAAACATTTAAATTTGAAATTTTAGATTAGTGTATTACAATTAGGCATCAAAAGATGATGTCATTCAAATGACCCCCGCGACGCATGTGGCATGACGTAATTCGTTTATTGAAATTTCCTACCACTTTTTGACACAATTCAGGTTCTATGCCGGCTATTTCGCATCTAATCTCCTGTTTCAGCTCTGGAATAGTGTTTGGTTCATTTCTATATACTCTGCTTTTTAGATACCCCAAAAAAAATCTAGGGGAGTAAGATCACATGATCGCGGCGGTCAATTGATATCGCCGTTACGTGAGATAATCCGACCAGGAAACTTGCCCCGCAGCAATTGCATCGTTTCTTTGGATGTGTGACAAGTGGTTCCATCCTGTTGGAACTACAAATCCAGAAAAAATCAGATATCATGTTTCGATAGAGAACACCATTAACCGTAACAGCGTTCTCCGCATTATCCTCG